ACACACACACACACACACACACACACACAGAGTCTTAGAGAAGTCCAGAGGCAAGCCTGGTCTTACGTTGCCAAAGAGGGAACAGAATGAGAACTATTGAGGGCCGCGGAGATGGCTCAGCGGATAAAGACGCTTGCTGCCAAGCCTCACCTCACCTCATCCCTGGCATCCTGGGGGGAAAGGAGAGAACTGGTTCCTGCTGGTTTTCCTCGGCCTTACACATGTGCTCTATGGCATACACCCTGCCCCCCCATAATAAACATAACAAAAAATAATGCTGCAAAAGTGGGAATTAAGACCTGAGCAAGGATTTGGAGTTTTGGATGACTCCCTTCATGTAAATGAGGCCATGTGAACAGAAATCGGATGTCCACTGAGCAGATCTGGACCATGAACATCTGCATGACCTTTCTTGGAGAGGCCGCCAAAACTCCCAAGATAGTGTGGTCACTGGATGAAGGGGCTTGGATTCCCAAATGTGTGTGTGAGGCAGGGCCCTTACACCCACCTGCAATTTTCTAGAATAAGACACAGACTGACATTGTGGGATGCTACTGAGATCCTGGGACGGGTCTAATGAGAATGGTCACATGCACCACACACCGAAGCTAGGATTGTCGTTCTTATCTTTTGGTAGTGTTGGCGATGGAACCTGTAGGTTCATCCATGCTAGGCAAGTACTCTTCTCTGAGAGACATCCTAGTCCTACACAGGATATTTCCCGTGCTTTTGGTAACGGACGTGACACTACAATGGGAAACCCCAGATTTCAATGTTTTCTTGGAACTTCCCAGAAACAAGCCACACCCACACTGAATCCTCTACAAGGTTGATTGACAGGTTAGAAAGTCAATGTTTTAGGTGAGTTGGAATGCTGCAGGTCCAGAGTCTTAAATAGCCATTTATTGTCTACCTCTGTGTGCGACCTAGCATCCTTGTGACTCTCACATGAAGCCGCTAGGAACGTGTAAACGGACCCCTACCTTCTACCAACCCAAAGCAAGAATGTCCCGAGAGGCCTGCCTCGGAGATCTCCTTGTTTTGCTTCAAGTTAACTACCTGGTGTGCCCACAAATGTATTTAAAAAAAAAAAAAATCAAACTACAGAGCCAGACTATGGTGGCACATGCCTTTAATCCTAGCACTCGGGAAGCAGATTTCCAGGCCAGTCTGGTCTACAGAGTGAGTTCTAGGACAGCCAGGGCTACACAGAGAAACTCTGTTTTGGAAAAAAAAAATACATTATCTCTTCATTTATGCATTTACTGTGTGTGTGTGTGTGTGTGTGTGTGTGTGTGTGTGTGCGCGCGTGTGCGTGCAGATGCCATGCGTGTGTGTGGACAGCGGAGGAATCAGGTCTCTCTCCATCATGTGTGTCGCAGGGATTGAAGTCAGGTTGTCAGTGTGGCAGGAAGAACCCTTACCTGCTGAGCCTGCTGAAATAGCTCGAGCCAACGTATTTGGAAGGTGTTTTGACTTATGGCTTCCTTTGTTTTGTTATGACAAAAGCTTCATAACAATCTGTGTTCCTGGAACATGCTCCCCCATTTTTGGCTCCAGAAAAAAAAAAAAAAAGGTATCTTGATCCCATTTAAGGTGGTCTGTTTTTTAGGTTAAAACTAAGTTAATTTAATGTGCATTGGTATTTTCTCTGCATTCATTTCTATGTGAGTGTGTTGGATCTTCTGGAACTAGAGTTACAGACAGTTTTGAAATGCCATCTGCTGGGAATTGAACCCAGGTCCTCTGGAAGGGCAGTCAGTGCTCTTAACTGCTGAGCCATCTCTCCAGCTCCCAGTTAAAAACACTGGAAAAAAAAAAAAAAAAAAAAA